ATAATAGCTATAAAATTTGTCTTTTGATTTCAAAATTCTTTGTGCATTTCTGATTTTGTCAGAATAAACAAATAACTTTTCTACACATGATGTGAATAAGTGCAAAATCTCTTAGGTTAGAATTAATCTTTGACAAATTGCACACAAAATCTACAGAAAGACTTTCAGTTGGAAGAGGCCCAAACATCAGGGTCTACTTTTATCCTAATATGTTGCACATATATAAACCTGTTTCTAGATTTCTGAAAGGATTGGAAGCCTTTGAGTAATGGTAAGTGAAGGGCTCCTACTCTTAATCATTTTCCATTTTTGAGAAGAGAACTTACTGTGTTGTCCAGGCTGCCCAGTAACTCATGATTTCTCCTGCCTGCCAAGTTGCTAAGATTGTAAGTATGCATCACTTCACTCAACCTGGGCGCCCGCTTTTATTGGTGAAAAATTTGTGTAGTTGACCATTCTGTAAAGATAATGAACAGCAACAATGAAGAGGATGATTTAAATCATCTTTAAGAAATGTATCATTGTGCTCCCTTTTCAAGCATCATGCTAATAAAGAATCCCAAAGCTCTTTGCTCAGTAAATGCCCTCAAAATGTTATCTGACTTCTTTCTTTACAAATTAGCTGATTACATTTAACAGAATTTCAATTTGATTTTAATGATAAAGATTGTCCAATTTTATTTTATTTTATTTTATTTTTTTCCGTTTTTATCGGTACCAGGTATCGAACTCACAATTGCCTGCTTGCAAGGCAGGCGCTTATGCTGCTGAGCTAAATCCCCAGCTCCGGCCAATTTTATTTTTGGCAAATACTCAAGATTCTACTTATGAAGGTCTTTATTTTTATCTTATAAGTCTCCATTTGATATTAACTAACACCAGTTTTTCTAAAATGTGACATTGCAAATAACGTCATGAATCAGAATTCATAGCAAGGTATATAATACAGAAAAATGTTAACTGTGGAAAGATGATTTTAAAGTTGCTACTATTACTGTTTAATGCCTTGATGTAGTACAAGAGAAGAGGTGTGGGATTTCTTGTTAACAATCTTAATTAACTTTTAATTGATTTCTAAAAAGATAAATGGTTTCATTATAGCGTCACACACTGAGTTGCTTGACTAGATATTAAACATCAACGCAAAGTTCGCCCCAGTACTGCTGATAGATAATAAGATTTTTAAGTCTTATTATCTTATTTAATTTTATGTACTCATCTATAGTAGCTCCTGTACTAGAAACAACTTTGTTCAGTGAGCCCATGTTGTTTTATATTTTTCAAATAAATGTACTACAGAAAATGAAAGAAACAGTTTTACATTTTACATTCTAGTCTCTTTCCCTGTTAGATCTGTGTCTGAGTAAATTTAGGATGTTTAGAACAAATTCCAGCAGACTATAGTCTTTTATTCCATTATCATCAAGTACTCAACTTTCATGGACATTTAGTCTGATAAGTGGTGGCAGATCAATGAGGTCAAAGTAAGAGAGAGAGAGAGAGAGAGAGAGAGAGACAGAGAGAGAGAGACAGAGAGAGAGAGAGTGTGTGTGTGTGTGATGCATGTACATCTTGCCATATTAGTTACATTTAACTGAATTAAATGGATTTTATTTAAATTATGAGAGCTAATTCATGACAATGCTCCTCTAGTATTTATTTTCTGTCCACCTATTAAATATTTTTTAATATCCCTTTTTACAAAGCATCTCATCACAAAATTGAGATTAATGTGAATTTACAAAGGGTGAGATTAAAGTTAGGGACCTTGAGGAGAGACTATTTCTCTGTAATGACAAGGTTAACTTACTGTACTTATCAAGCCTTGAAACGGGAACAGAGTAATCAAAGAATGGGTCAAAGAGATGAAATGGTAAAAGAAAAAACTCTAATTCAAAAAATTCCAATGGAGGCTGGAGATATAGCTCAGTGGCCCCTGGCCTATTTGGCAAGTGCAAGGTCATGAATTCGATTCCCAGTATCAAAAAAGAAAAAATAAATAAATAAATGGAGCATGACCATTACTTGTCACTTTAGAGAAGAAAAGTTGTGTGAGGATCTAGGGGATGGCCAGAGCATATACTCACATGAACACCAGGACATTGGATCTCTCAGTTCTATAACCTCAAACAACTGAGTGCTAGTGACAATTTCAGTGAACAAGAAAATTGCTTCTAACTCGAGCCTCCAAAAAGAGCACAGCACTGCTTATACTTTTTCTCTACTATGATGAGATCTTGCAGAGGTTTAAAAAATAAAGCTGATGTGAGGAAGCCAATAAATTTGTGAAAATTTGTTGTAGTAGCCATAGAAACCTAACACAGTCCTTGACTCAAGATGATTCAACTTGATTTTCAGTTTTATGATAGTGTCAAAGCATATGTATTCACTAAAATCTCTACATTAAAGTTTGATCTTTTGATGGCACACACTTGTTATCCCAGCACTCTGGAAGCTGAGGCAGGAGGATTGTTGCAAGTTCAAGATCAGCCTTCGCTACAAAATGAGCTGAAGGCCAGCCTGAACTGTGCAGTGAGACTCTGTTAAAAAAAAAAAAAAAAAAAAAAAAAAAAAAAAAAAACCTTTTACAAGGTGTTATGGTTGATATATTTGTCAATCTGAGAAGTTTAGAAATTTAACAAAGAGACTCAGCGGGTAACCAGAATTCTTACTCTGTAAATATTCTCAGCCCACATAAAAGGAGGGCACAGTGGTGATTAGAGGGCTAAACACACACCCTAAGTGGGGGGATGTAGCCTGATTATAATATAAGGGACGTCCAATGTCTTGTCCCCCTTTTTTTGTTCTGGCTGCTTTTGTTGGCTGCTGACTTGAAGTCTTGCCCCTGTGTCACGCCACCCTGCCCTAGAGCACACTGGTTATGGACTGAAACCGCCATAAACAGTAAGCTGAACAAACGTTTCCTTCCTTCCTTTTGGGTGTCATGTATTTTGCCCCAACAACAAGAGAAAAATAACCAAGACAGAAGGCTCGTGGTACATAGTGGGCCACTCTTGAGGTGCTGGGCCGCAGCAGTGAACTGGGGCTCCTAGTTCCAGTCAACAACTAATACTCCACAAGAGTGTAATGTGTTGCTGCATTAGGAAGCTACATAAGTTAAGTATGGTAAATGCATTTTTGACTTACTATATTTTAAATTTACAGTGGATTTATCAGGATATAATATCACGGTAAGTGAATAAGCATTGCTACAGATATATTTGAGGATCCTACCGGAGGTATCAGTTAAGAAGCTGGATATATATAGGACACATTATACAGCACTCCTCCACACACAATCTCTGCATACACAGTCACACACAATGCAGCCATGTTAGTTAAATTAAACCTTTGTATCAGAATACAACTTACTACGTGGGAGAATAAAAATAACAAGCACATAAATGACAGCAAGTTAGAAGTATTTAATTTGCTAATTGCATAAATAACTGATTTTGTGATCTTAAATATTTCAGTGATAAAGTGACCCAAAAATGTAAGATTCTAGTGCAATAAATAGAACCACACATTATGAAGTTGTATGTTTTCTCATACTTGAATAGTTTTTTTTTTTTTTTTTTCAGGAAATGGTGGGCAGTGTTGATTTGTTCTTTTGCACTACAATGCTCAGCTTAAATGATCTGTAAATAATTTGTAAGGCAAAGTGTAAGCAAGGTTTAAAAGTAGAGGAAAACATGCCTATGGAAACTCTGTGAGGTCTATTGCAATATTTTTTCTCTTCAGAGTTCTTTATTTCATCATTTCCCAGGATAATGCCCCAAACTATGCTAACTCACAAGGGATTTGATGTTTCCATGTGTTAGGACAGGTCCTGGTGAAAGATCTGACATCATGACATATAGAAGAAACACATTTATAATTGTGGTTTTCATGTTTTAAACTTTACCATTTCATACTATGCACAGCCATTCCATAACCAACTGAAGTTTGTAAAGCTGCAATGGTAACTGTACACATGCCACTAAATTGCATTCTGTAGTGTTTCAGGGTTTGTGGAAATTAAGTGATTGTCGTATTTCCTGTTCAGAAGACACTCAAGGGTCTTGTTGTCCTTCATTTTCTTGCTGATAGTTGGGGACTGAATAACATAACATGTGCTGGCTTTGTAGGTTTGGTAAAACTTTTTGAAGAACAAATATTTCATGCAATATTTGATAATGTAAAGTTGTAATTTGTAGCACAACTGACATATGTAAGATTAATTTTCATAACAATCCATCATGCAGTTATTAAGATAACTGGGAATTTTCAGCCAATATAGATTTACTATACTAACAACAATTCTGCTGCTATTTGGATTTGTATTCTAATATTAAAAAATTCTTAATATTACTGTAATTTTATTTACATTTGAGATTATAATAGATTTATTTTCAATTTCAGTTTCATACATTCATTTAACCTAACCCTCATTGCCACTACTATTATTTATTAGATCTTTTTTATACATGTGCTAGGACATCACACTACAATACTGAAGTATTTATTTCTTGTGTAAACATAGGCAAGGAAATTTAGTTCTGTAGGCCTCATTTGCTCATTTCCAAAATGGAACCAATGATATTTAGTTAAACAATTTAAATATGAAAACACATAAATAAAGTGCTTGAACCATAAACAACCATACAGTTAATTACGTTAATTAAAAAATAAGTATGTTTTTCCAATTTGACATTTAAAAATCTATTAGAGCAATAATACCTGAAAAATTCAACAATTTTATCATTATTGACTGAGACATAATATGTTACTATATCATTAACAACAGTGTAGAAGTGAGGCTCATTTTGAATGAGCTTATAGGTTTTCACAATGCATTTCTAACTTTAAGCCATGCATGATTCTTCATTATCTTCTTAAATTTCTCCTTAGAGCAAAATAATATTTGATAAGAAAAATTTCATAATTTATCAGTAGGATATCAGAAACTGTTAGGTGAATTTCTTTTTCTTCTTCTTTTTTTTTTTAATTATATTTAGGCAACAGACCCTGATGCTGGAATAAATGGCCAAGTGCACTACAGTTTGGGTAACTTTAATAACCTTTTTCGCATAACTTCCAATGGGAGCATCTACACAGCCGTGAAGCTTAACAGAGAAGTGAGGGACTATTATGAGCTTATTGTTGTGGCAACTGATGGTGCAGTGCACCCTCGGCATTCAACTCTGACGCTGGCCATTAAGGTTTTGGATATTGATGATAACAGCCCTGTGTTCACCAATTCGACATACACTGTAGTTGTTGAAGAGAATCTGCCAGCTGGGACAATCTTCCTGCAAATAGAGGTATGTAGAAAAAGCAAGAATTTCATTATTCTATAACACAGTATTTGTCCCTAGAGGACAAATTGAGTTAAAGTTTAATTACAAAGAATAAATGTATATCTCTAATATAGCATGCTGTAATTATGTGACAGAATCCCTTTAGGGAAATTCCACATAATTAAAGAAACGTGCATTTGTGAGAATGAAGCAATATTTTTTGTTTCCTTTGATATATGATATAAAACTGTGTGCTTTTTTGTACTATTTTGCAATAAAATATCCATTAAAGGAAATTTCAATGGTCTCAAAATTAATCAATATTAAATTTTTATGTTTATTTTCACTCTTATCCTGCTCATACAAATATCAAATATATATATATGCACATGTGCACAGGTATTGCATATAAAACCCATGTGTGTATATTCATATAGATATTGTATACATATGTATGTGCTTTTTCTTACATTTTACTGATATTGTTATATGCATTATTTTGTAATTTTTTTCATTTTCTATACATGAACATTTCTTTTAGGGTTTTAAATATCTTAACCTCCTTTTTATTTTGTAAGTGTATTATTACAAGAAAATTTGAACATTAGAGTTGATAGGACATATTAACTTACGATTCTGGGTTTTTGTCTACCAGTAGATTTAATTCTGACACAGAGATTGTTAGTATTTTGAAAACAAAGAAAAACTTCTATCCTCACAGAAACAGACAAGTATATTGGTAATTAAAATGGATAGGCTTTATAAAAGCAGCTCTGTTTTTATTCTTCCATTTTATTCCCTCTACCTGAAATGGTTTTGCCTATTTTCGAAAGAGAACATTTATTGGGAAAGATTTTTCTAAGATATTCACTAAAGGTCTAGTCAGATTTGCTAAGCAAAAGAGAAAAAGAAATCATTTAAAGTCGTGGCAAAGCTCTCCCTGAAATCTTGGAAGAGAGAGTGAGATTTGAGAGGTTAAACGCCCAGGAGAATGTAGTCGTCCTTCCCATGATGTTAAGGAGATTGAAGGTGCTATGTTTTGAATCTTAGATGTCTCTCAAAAGCCCAGTATTGAAGGCTTAGTCTGCAACATATGGTCGCTTCCCGTGTCTCTCTGTTTCTTGAATGCCATGAAGTGATCAGACCACCCATACCGCAACACACCATAATATCCTTTGCTACCATAAGACTAAAGCAACAGAATCAAGTGATCATGGATGGAAAGTACAAACCAAACCAAATTTTCTTTAGGGTTATCTCAGGCATTTTGCCATGGCAGGCTAATTGGTTGACTGAAATTTGAATACAAAGTCAAAAAGAGTTTAGATATGAAAGTGGCAGAATATAATCCATGCTTTAAAGATATCTTTTCAGCTGTGATGACAATTCAAGATTGAAGAAAACCAAGTTCATTCTCAGAAGTGCTTGCATTAATGAATTTAAAATCAATACATTGACCTTTTGGAATTTTGTTTTTGTATTTTATTTTATTTCCTCCACCTAAGGTGTCTTTATCAATCTGTTTTCTTGAATGAAGCAACATTTTACTTCCATAAAACCTTTCCTTTTTTCCAGGTTCTAATTCACAACATTTTTAAGATATCATGTTTTCCTTCTGTTTTGGTATTTGTGTATTATTCCTCTTTAGACTATCACCTAGAATACAGAAATTATGTTTTGATTCCTCTTGGTTCTTGTCACAGTGCCTTATACATGGTAATTACTCAATATTTATTAGTTAAGGAATGGAGGTGTAACATGCTGATGTCTAGGAAAGTGTCACAGAATCCTTGTAAGAAAAACTTGGTACTTAACATCTCTTAGTTTTTCTTTACAGTCTTTTAGTACTTTGTTGATTTGAAATCATTCAAATCATTGTTTGCATTTAAAACATTTTTGTCATTATTGAATGAGCAGGAAATATTTATTCCTGACATTATGTATTTCTTTAGCTTGGCATGATTCATTTCTTTAAATTTTGATCTTTCAATTAAAGTAAATATTAGCAATAAAATTAGCAATTAAAATATCCTCACCTCCCTTCCTTCTCCTCTCCTCTCCCATTTATTTTCCTTAACACTTGAAGCATTGCTTAGCAAAAGTGCTTCTCTTTACAAATGTTTCCTTTGTCATCATCACATTCATGCTGTCCTACACACTGCATATGATTTCCATCAGTCCTCAGTTCTATTTTGGTTATGCACTGAATCCTCCATTCTTCTACTTAATGTTTTTATACATCTGGTATTTAAACTATTTTTTTAATTTATACATATTTGTCATACACATTGACCATATTCATCATAGGGCACTTGTACCTGTATATAATATATCTCAATTAATTTTCTCACATTCCCCTCCCATTCTTCTGCATAATTTCTTACAGGCTAAAGATGTTGACCTTGGAGCAAATGTGTCTTATCGGATAAGAAGCCCAGAAGTGAAGCACATTTTTGCACTGCATCCATTCACAGGACAACTGTCCCTTTTACGGAGTTTGGATTATGAGGCGTTTCCAGATCAAGAAGCAAGCATCACATTTTTGGTGGAGGCATTTGACATTTATGGAACAATGCCACCTGGCATTGCTACTGTCACAGTAATAGTAAAGGTAAGGAGTGTAGATGACATCTAGTTGGCTACTTCCACTACAGATATTTTCCGCTTCTTATGTTATTCCTTTTGGCAAAGTTTCATACTAACACACTGATGTAATACCAAGGTATAGCTTTTCTAATGTAAAGTTACTATAAAGACTTGATAAATAGTCATACTTTAAGTATAAAGGTAAATTTGGAAGTGACATTAAATATCCACTTAAAGACTAAATGTTTGAGTCTGTCATTAGCTTTGTGACTTCAGGAAAATCGTAACTTGCTAAACTTAGTTTAATCTAAAATTTAAAACACTGGAAATGCTAATTACTCCATACATTTTTATTTAAACAAAAGAAAAAATGAGTTTGGATGGGTAAGAGTTCTTAGACCTCAAACATACTTAGTTTAATTTAGTTTAGACACCTGAGTGTCGGGGTTTAACACTGCATACAAATCAGGTGGAATTATAATTCAGTTCAATCCCTGCCATTGGCAATCTCTTTGACCTTGGGAACATTTTTAATCTCTCTGGATTTATCTCATTACTCTGCCTTAAAAAGTATGGCATGTGTAACCTTTAGGTTTCTTATGATTTGGAAGAAACATCTTAAAGTAGACATGAGGGAACATTATAGTCAATGAGTTCTCAAATATTATATAAAAATCACCTGAACATCATCCTAAACATTCAAATTTCTACCCTTTCTTTATTAACAAGTACCTTGCACATGGGCACCATCGTAAGAATTAGCACATTTAAAAAACATACAGATGACTCTTAAATCAGAAGTTTGAATATCACACATTGACACACACAGTTCAGTGGCAACTCTACACCTACAAGGAGAAATCTTGAATAATTTACTAAAAATGCAGCCAAAATGGCTTTAGATAATATTTGCTTTTCAAATTATGTAAGTAAAAGTATTTACATAATCACCATACTGAAAAATATTTTGTTCTGACCACAGAAAAACATAACCTCTTGAAAACACTTTTTTCTACTCATCTGATAAAAATTTGAATGATTAAGAAAACAAACAAAAGACTCCAAGATTATTAGAGAGACACAGACATTGTAGTAGAGTAACAGTAAGAGGCAGAGTGAGATTGGCAGTGAAAGAAAGAGAAAAGAAGAAAAGATGGAGAAAGAGACAGAGGTAGGAAAAGGGGAAAGGAGAAAAGGATTTAAAATCTATATAATCAGTGAAGCACTTTACAAAGCACCTTACGGAGTATTTTGATAAGTTCATGAACAATACAGATGAACACGAGTAATTGAATAAATATTGTAGACATTTTGATTCACGATTTATTTGCAATTATAGCAAAATACATGACTGATGACTGTGGGTTAGATTTTACCAGATGATAGTAAAAATTAAATAATATTAAATAATAAAGTCTATGTGCCAAGGAAAAATATGTAAATTGTGAATTAACATTTAGTTCAGGTTTATATAGTAGTATTATAATTCAATCTGACAACCACATTTTTGTCTATTGGAGTTGTTCATATTTCTCATAGTCACAAGAAATTGAATGTGATCAAATTACTGATTCAATAGTTTTATTAAGTTGTTTGATCCTGGAGATTATGCAGAAAGCCAATGGTATCTGCTAAGTATGATTTAAAAACTATGATGAATATTTAATTTTTTGAAATGTATTCGAGAATAAGACACATTGGTATTAAACACCTAAAAAACAATCCCCACGGCTTCAAACACATTTATCCCATCATCCTTGTCGTTTTCTAAAGTAGAACATGAAGTCTTTTGCGTCTTTCTTTTTGTTCTCACTGTCCTGGCTTCCTTGATGCTCTGAACTGAGTCAAAACGTTTACCTTTCAGGGTCATTTTGACTTTGGTGGACAGCCAGAAGTTGAGCAATGCCAAATACGTGAAACCAGTAAATGAGGTCACGATGTGATGTTTTTATGAGGCTATATTTCTCTTTGATAGTACTTGGCAACAATATTCACGGCATCTATCTTCATATCTCATAAAGGCACTCACTATAAAGAACTTCTAGACATGCTTCAGAAAGTGGCAGGAATGACTAGACAGTAGCACAATAGCAGACTATATTCTACAAAAAGCATACAAACTTTTATAGCAGCTCTTGAAAATATAAGCACAAGGTCCATCAGGTAAGTCACAGCTATGAACTCTAGCAAAATACAATTTTTTTTTCCTTTAAAACCAACTGTTACTAGAATATTAAATGAACTCTGCCAATTCAAATTACTAACGTTAGGATTTCTGAAAATCATGAACAAAAGCAACCTCAATCCCTTTAGGATTTAAGTATCTAAAACTCATTTTTAACTTGTTGACTTACTGTTTGATATGTTTTTTAAATAACTTTTTTTTCAGAAAAGCCTTTTAGGTTCAGAAACAAGGATTAGGGACTTTTTCTGCCCAAGTGTCTCATGTTTTCTTTTTTAGATGTACTGTGCTTGCATCTGTATATTACACCTAAAAGTTAGGATACAAATATAAGTAATGACATGACTTTTAAACCTAACATTAACCTGTGCATGTGGAGGCAGAATTTTGTAATGATCTAAAAATTACATGAATGTTGTAAATTGATCATATAGCCTAGCAGTATGTAATTAAAGACAGTTTTTTTCCCTAAGAAAAATGTTCAAGAATTTAAAATGTAATATATAGGGATAATTTTAAAATCTGTTACTAGCAAGTTTACAATAGAACTAAAAGACTTTCATCAAAACAATATGATTTGTTAGATTTTGTCAAGAAAAATTAAGTCTTTGCAAATTAGGGTTTACTTAGGTATCTGTTTAAAGTTTTGTTTTAACACTCTTTTTATATGAGCTACTGTTATATGTGATGTACCTTATTTTAAGCAATGTAATTGTCCTTGTGAAGTATAATCAGTCATGATTGTTGTTATAATTTGTTGCAAAATTAACTGAATAGTTTTACTTTATTGCTACTGTTTTTATTGCTTTTCGCAATTTTACTGGAAAGAGCCATATTCGTCTTTCTCTAAAGAGCTGGTCTTGCTCAAAGGTATATATTGTCAGTAAAATAGACATTAATTCCTCTACACTCAAAATTTTTGGAATTGTCTTACACTTACTTTAGAAATTTTAATACTGTTTTAGTCTTCACTGAAGAAAATACTGTCATTTTTCTTAAATTTATTAATATTATTTTATAAGAAAAGGTTCTCAGTAGATGCCTAATGCAAACTTCTGGCAGAAGCAACTTTATTTCACAAGTACTGCCTTTGTTTTTTGACTTTTCATTATAACATGTTTTAAGTGACCTTTTCTTTTTTTGTACCAAGGATCAAACTCACAACCTCATGCTTGCCATGCAGGCGCTTATGCCACTAAGCTAAATCCCAGCCCCTGAAGTGACTTTCTTTAATTAACGTGGTGTGTGTGTTTCTCAGTTCAAATCTGTTCAGACTGGATATTCTTTGTCAGTCCTAATGTCTTAGGATACTGGCTGTAACATCTACTTGCATTGTGCACTCTTCTAATTCTGGTATTGTTCAAATTTGGCAAGAAGATTTTTTGACACTGATTTCAACAGCCTGTCATGTCCTCTCTTACATGGGACATGCCCAGACTTAATAGCTGTGGTAAACTACCTAGGACTAAATAAGGAATGAATAAGGCCACAAATGGTTGATTGGTAAAAACTTCAAAGAGAAGATAATTCAGAGAGGTGGGTGGGGATTATGTTAAATCAAAGAGTCATCTGTGTATAAACCCTACCAAAAATAAGGACAGCTGAAGAGGTTGTAAAAGAAGATTCCCATCCAGGGTTGTCTGAAGTCAAAACGCCCTTCCTGCAGTATAACTACTGATGTGCCTAGAGTTAGGCTTCCTTTCATAATTGATCTCACAGTCTTCAGTGACGCTTTTTTTAGGCTCAACCATTCATATTAACTTTTATGGAATCTACATGCCAGTTCAAAACTATTAGACAGCTAGTCAGGAGAAGAAACCACCCCTAGGCCTTCAAGATTGAGAATGAGGCCAAACAAGGGAGGAACTGTGTCCAGCATGACAAAATAGGATTTTAAAAGTTAATTGTTGCTTTTCTTACTGTAAAAATTTTTGTTTCACTCTTTAACTGATAAATATCTAGAAATATATAATTAGTTTTCCTAGATAATAAATACTAATATGAGCAAATAGATGATTATTAAAGAATTTATCACTATAAAATTAGCAGGACAGTGTTTTTTCCTGTGAGGCAATGTTTTTGCAAATCTGAGTTTCATTTTTATTTATTTATTCAGAGGCAGTAATAATGAAATTAGAATAGAATGGTACACAGAAAACACTCTGTGTCTTTTCTTTTATTTGACCAAGTTGATCTTCTGGCACTGCATTGATGCTATTTTTTTCTGGAATTAATGCTATCCTGGAAAGGGGACAGGATGATGTTTCTCCAAAAGTTGTCTGGAGAGCTTCATCATGATCTTGTTTTCCTTTCATCACAGAGTCTCATATGCTTCCTTCGTTTATTTTGCATCTCTTTATATCAAGAAATTTATGCACTTAGAGAATTTTAAACATATCTGTTTCAGGGAGATAAAATTTTTCATAGCACTACATTTTCTTTGGAAATAAGAATCCAAACTACCAAAATCTTTTATTGGGAAACTTGTTTTTCCTTTTGTACCTCTTCTGGAGGCATGATTTTCTGTGCCCTGCTAGCCTCAAAAAGCAATAAGGGTCACCTCAAAACCACAGACAGCTTGAGGTTATTTTCTTTGAATTTTGAAATTATATTTTATCACATTATTGTGCTATAGGATTTAGAAGTTTAAAAATATGTTTACAAAAATATTTACTGATCACAATAATGATGTCAGTTATGTATTAAGTAGAGACAAGCAAATGAAAAAATATTAAGACTGTTAGTCAAATGGAAGGGAAAATTATAGTTCATCTCACACTGGTGTGCCTTTTTCATTCAAATGGTTTTGTAGCATAGAACATTTAAATATTGAAAGTAGAAAA